ATGCCGTTTTAACTGTAATGTTCTTTTTTTTCTCTGACAGTGTCTCTTTAGTGCTCCCTAACACAGATTTACACACATTTCTGAACAACATTTGCACGAAGAAGGTTTATTGTGTGCATAGAAAAAGTCTTGGATCTTTGAGTTCAGCTCATGACAAATGGGAGCAAAAACAAAACTGTTCACATTTGTGTTCAGTGTATATTGTGTCTGTCTCACATTTTAACAATGTTGAAAGTGGACTTCATTTTGTCATTTCTTCAAAGTGATTTTAAAGTTAAATGTGCCACATTCCTCTGTTCAGAAAAAAAACTAAATTCAGAAAATGTTTAGTTCAAATGGTGTGAAGTTTCATCTAAACAGTGTCATGTAACATTATAAACTGTGTCAGAGGTCAAGGTGCTTTTTTATTATTAATTACCACTGTTCAAAAGAAATACGTTTTCAAACATTGGGAAGCATCTTACAATATTTAATATGTGTAAATAATGATAAGAGTAATTTGATTTGATTTTTGTCCAATTTTTTGATGCATGCCTACAAGTAAACAAAAATAATATAACAGTGTCAGTGAATGCATAAATAATTTTGTTTGTAGATTTCAAATACATTTTTGTGACATTTTTGCATAGCTTACTACATCTTGATGGCCAGGTTGTTTTGAACAGTGGAGAAAATATTTAAATATGTTGAACATGTTCTCTCTGCCCTATATCAATGCCTTGTATACAAACATACACAGCTGTTTTAATTGGCTCAAGCTGATAACTTACTTGATTAAAACGACCATGGAAATAAAAGGAAGTGATTCATAAAATCTTAAAAAAATAAATAAATAAATAAACTGCAAACCCAGTGAGGCCTGGWGTCCCCATAGTTTAAAAGAAGTGTTACATAACAATTCAGTTTAGTTCACAACAAATGTCACTAAGAAAAGCAAAACTATCTAACTCTGCATACCACACAACAAACTTAAAAATCCCGAATAAAGGTAATCATACATTTGTTGATAAATATTCATTTTTTTWCTGTTCCAAAATGCTATTTTTCACAATTTGACCAAAATGGTTTAACTTTGTCATTTTCCAGCACAAGTTTAGTTGTTGTTGTTGTGTCCCCTGTTGTGCCTTATGTTGAACTGTKTACTTTTTAGAAAGAAAAAAGTAATATTTTAAGGTTTGATACAGTATGTTTCTAATGTATGAGGATGATGAAAGACTAAAGTGATGCTTGTAATTGAAGAAATGACAGCTGAGGTGTCTAAAATTTTGAGAACGCTGATCCATACGTTCTCGAAGAAGTGATTTGTGAATAWCTGCAATAACCAATCCAGCAAATACTTTTGTAAATGGCCATTTAAACATTTTAAAAACAGTTTTAGATTACTAACACATTTTCTTTTCTACAGTCTGTACGACTGACGGTTTTCAATCAGGCAGCGCACTAGACAACTAAAAGCATTTGGTGGGGTCCTTTTCCTTTTAAGCTAAGMAGTATTAGCAGTCAACATGCCGACTGTCGGCGTAAAAAGAGACCTTCTATTTAAAGCTCTTGGCAAAACCTACAGTAAGTTTTAATYAGCTACATTGGTCAAGTAATGTGCGTACTGTTAGTTTTCTACGTGTGTTATGCATTTGAAAAAGCCAAAAATAATGGCTAAACTTGCTCTGTGACAGCTAGCGTGACACGTACGGTCAGTGAGCTCACGAAMCAATTTCAGCCGGTATTTTGGTTAATTGCATTTATTTCGAATGAAAGAGTAACTTATTTTATTGCAGTTTGCACTACGAAGTTATTTTTTATCATRAGTGAACTTCTGCCGGTGTGTAGTTATATGTGTACAGTATAATCTGACTGACTAATGTCTGCGTGGTTGCATCATTTCCTCTCCGGCTGTTGTCCTTTTCTACAKGTTGCTTATTGTAAACCGGATGCTTAACAAACCTGTTATTTTATAATGACTGTCTTCGTCTTTATGTTACAGCTGACGAGGAGTTTGACGAGTTGTGTTTCGAGTATGGGCTGGAGCTGGATGAAATTGTAAGCAATTTGAGTACATCTTACTTTAATGATTTTGTTGCAGGTGGGAACAACAAAGTCCTCAAAATCATACCCTAAATACAGAKATAAAAAGAGTGTGTCCAATCTGCTTGATTCATTTTTATCCGAGGTTCACACCAAAAAGATGTAGCTGTATCTAAGCTATAAAAATGTCAGCAAGAAACACTAACAGACCACTGTTTATTTCAGCTTTTCAATGAGCAAAGTAAATCACTAAATTTACAATCATTGGGCCTCATGCAAGAACATGTTCATATTCTTATCCTAAATTTCTCTTACTTTTGTTCGTACAAAGGGTTCGTACGAACAAAAGTAAGAGAAATTTAGGATAAGAATACGAACATGTCACGTCAGATTCAACAAACTCTTGTATCTTCAGGAAAAGTGCGTAAATGAGCTGCGTAAATTACACCTGTTCATATCCAGCTGCTCGT